CGCCCATCAATATGAGGGACTCTGTATTCGGCACTTCAGACAGAGCACACTGCATTTCCTCAAGGAAGGTGTCATATTCTCCCTCCAAGTTGGGCGCATGGACTTGTGCCAAGGTCATCGATTTAGCCTGTTGTAGCTTCGGTCGGAGGATTACCACCCTTCTTTTGACAGGCTTTAAATCAATGATTCTATCTGCGAGGTTGGGTTCTACCGGAACAACAACACCGGCCTTAGCGCGCGTCGTGATGTGGACGCCCTGAGTAGAATCGCTTTCACCCGCAGAGTTTGAGGATTCCAGAGCGTTGGCGCTTCGTTGATGATAGTCCAACAATTTTGTGTTGGTTCTTTATGGCCTCATCAACTGACTCTTGTTCTTTCCTTCTGAGTGAGAATAAATTCTAATTTCCGACTGTAAGCTCCCGCTGGTGGTATCGTTTTCGTGGAGTTTTTTCTGACGTGCTGTAATGGCATCGCGGTGTCTGCCTCCTCCGTTCAGAACGGGTAGGTGCTCCGTTGCTGACTGGTAGCTCTGTTGTCGTTCCGTCGATCTTCGTCAGCTGCTGTTGTGCTGCTACGCCCCCGGCTGGCTGATGACGACGAGTAGGTTGTGATCTCCGACTTTTCGCAGTCTGCCTCAGTCCTCCAACAGCCTGAGCGGCCCTTGGTAACCCGGCTGGCGATTGAGCCGGTATATTTTTCGATGGCGTCAATACCATGAGTGGCAGGTGGCGAAATTTGATGGAGTCTTCGACACGGTCTCCGACCATCCTGCTTTCTGAAGCGGGCTTTGGACCGGCAACGGTCACTCATGATATCCCTTTAAAAATATCTCAGGATACCGAAACCGAAACCTCGATAATTGTTCGTTACCGTGCTCGGTTTGCTAAATGCTTTGTGTTGTATTAAATTTGTTTTACTATATATTCACTGTATTGAGCCATTGAATTCTTTTTACAAATTTCGCGGTTTATCAGATGCGTTTCAACTGGATAAAGTGACTAATCCGCAGAAGGAGGCGATGCTTGCTGAATTTGAGAGACGAAAACGTGCGCGCCAGTTGACCCTGCCCACTGATGACTACGAGGTGAAGGCGCTGTTGCGACAGATAGCCGAGCCAATTTGCCTCTTCGGCGAGGATAAGCCAGACAGACGCGAGCGGTTGCGCAAAATTTTGTCGTTAATGGACGAAGAAGAAGCCCACCGGATTCTGAGACGCGAGGAGCCACGATCTGATCTGCCGAAGGAAGAGGAAAACACGTGGTACCATGAAGGATCTGAGGCACTACGACAGGCGCGCCAGTTCATCGCCCGTTTCTCGATTCCCAGGTACATTTCCTTTGTCAGCGCTTGGTTTTTAGTTTGAGATCAACGTTTTACTCTACAGAGCAAAAGAACGGTTGGAGAAAGTGCGAGAACTGAAGAAGTGTCCCCCTCAACAACGGGCCATTCGTATACAGGAAACGCACAAGTGGATCAGGGTGTGTAATACTCAGGCGAATCCAAATCGATCATGGAAAGTAATGTACTGATGTACGCATTTAGAACGTAGCAAATTACTGCAGTCAGGTGGGCGATTCAAGGCCAGTCGCCTACTGCGAATTTAGCCCTGACTCGAAGTACATCGCTACTGCCGGATGGTAAGCATAAATGGTCGCTACTTTTTAAGCTTTACTGCAACGTACGTTAGAATAAGGCTCGTTCAATGCGATGCAGACGTGCATCGACCTTTCACGACAGATCGTCGAGCGTCAGTCATCAGTGTGTCCGTCGAATTTGACTCTGCAACTGTGTTACAGGAGCGGTGTATGCAAGTTATGGGCTGTGCCCGACTGTAGTCTGATTCGCACCTATCAGGGTCATAACGACAGTGCCGGCTGCATTCGCTTTCACCCATCATCAACGATATCAGCCAGCAGGACTGAACTTAACATGGCGTCGTGTTCCCATGATGGCAGCGTCAAGTTGTGGAATTTGGAAAGGTATTGACTGATTTGTTTTCCACTTCCATTACTGTCACTGGATTTTACTAGAGTATTTAATTAGTCTGTAAAGAAATAATTAATTATTGTCAGAACTCATAGCGAATTATTCTTCTACGATTTGTGATTGAAGCGTTGGTATGAAACGTTCTGGTTGAACGGTTGGTAGACGGATTACGAATTCGATTACTGATAGTGTAACCCCATCCTTAATAAAATGTGCAGAAAGGAATGAGAAGACCATCGGGTACTGCCTTCATG